CCTGGAGCTGATCTGCAGCGGGTGGATTATTGTATTGCTATCCTGGGCTCAAGGGGGCAAACCAAGAGGGAATGGCAGCTCTTTTTTGGGGTGTGTGTGTGTGTGCGTGCTAGAGTTTTACCCTGGTTTTATATACACAAATATCTGGGGTGTCCTTGCTAGCCGGCCCAACATGCTCACATCAAACTTTTTTCATTTTCTCCCACAAATCCTGAATCGTCAACGGCCTCTAAAGCAGCGTCTCAACTCCGCTTCTGCAGCAGAGTCCAGTCCAGCCCTGCCAAGCCCAAACCCTTCCGCAGAGCTTCCCAAACCAGCCGCAATCTATCTGACCCAACGGCCCAGAAGGGCAGACAAGTTTTCCCTCCCCAAGAGGGTTGGTGGGAGCTTCGGTCTTGGGCTCATTTTCTCCGCCGCGTTTCCCCCCTCCTCACTTCCTCGGTGGCTTCGGCGGAGCCGGGGGAGAGAGAGAGAAAAACTCACAATTTGGGGGGACGGGACGGACGGAGACCCTACCCCACCCTTTTAGCTTTCCCTGCCCCGCCTCAAAATAAATAAAAATAAAAATACCCGCCTGCAAAAGGAGCAAGGTGGCCATTTCTTTCGCTTCGGCCAAGAGAAACGTGGCATATTTTTTCGGGTGCCTCTGCAGGAATTTTTAAAAAAAAACACACCTTGGCCGAGGAAATTGGGGGGCGGGGGGGTGTTTCTCTCTCTCTCTCTCTTTCTCTCTCTCCTTCCCCCCATCCTGCTAGGCCCAGAAATGTGAGGAAGGGGGTTAGTGAGTGAGTGAGAAGCCCACCGTCCCGCAGGGGAGGGAGGGAGGAACAAGGCAGTTTACCGGGACGGACAGGGAAGGGAGAAAGAAATAAAGAGGTTTATTTAACTTTTCTGGCTTTAAAGGGTCTTCTAAGGGAGCGGGGGAGGGGGAGGAAGAGGAGAAAAACTTTATTTAAAAAAAAAAACTGACCTGCAAAAGAGGATGACGTCGTCCCACTACTCTTCCCCCGCCTCCCCCCCCTTGCCCCCCCTTCCATGGGCCACTCCAGTTTTTAAAAAGGGATGAAATTGGAGAATGCGGATCCCTCCTCCTCCTCCTCCTCCTTCTTCAGGGTAGGGAAGGAAGCAACGCCGGAGTTTGCAGCCTGCCCCAGACGGATGGAAATGGGGACACGGGCTGCAATTTGTCCCTTTGGGGGTGGGTGGGGGGGTGGGTGATGGTTTAAGGGGCAGCTGAAGAGCAAAACATATGAGAGCCGGACGCATTTTTTCTTTTCTTTCTTTCTCTTTTATTTTATGAACGCTGAGAGCATTTGCACCAAAGACGAATTCCTTGTGTGTCCCATCACATTTGGCCAATAAAAGGAATTCTATTCTATATTCCATGCTTTCTTTCCTCTATTCTAATTCTATTCCTTCTTCTATTCTTTCTTCTTTTTTTTAATTCTATTCTTTCTCTATTTTCTTCTATTACTTTCTTCGATTCTTTTTATTCTATTCTTTATGATTCTACTCTTTCTTTCTTCGATTCTAATTCTATTCCTTCTATTCTTCTTTTTTATTCTATTCTTTCTCTATTTTCTTCTATTACTTTCTTCAATTCTTTTTATTCTATTCTTTATTCTACTCTTTCTTTCTTCTATTCTAATTCTATTCCTTCTATTCTTTCTTCTCTTTTTTATTCTATTCTTTCTTCTTTTTTATTCTATTCTTTCTCTATTTTCTATTACTTCAGTTCTTTTTATTCTATTATTATTCTATTCTTTCTTCTATTCTATTTTTTATTCTATTCTTCCTCTATTCTTTTTCTTCTATTCTATATTCTATTCTTTCTCTATTCTATTTTCTTCTATTCTATTACTTTCTTCTATTCTATTTTCTTCTATTCTCTTTTTCTTCTATTCTTTATTATTCTATTCTATTCTTTCCCTATTCTATTTTCTTCTATTCTATTACTTTCTATTCTTTCTTCTCTTCTGTTCTTTGTTCTATCCTATTCGTTCTTTTTTTGCACAGAAAGTCTCACCCAACTTGGGTTGAGAAAAATCTCCCAGTTTGATTGGTGGAGGTGACAACCTCCTTGCAGATGAATTAAGGTCTTGTTTGTAAACTAAGCCACAAAACCTAGCTTGGGATGGCTGCACACAATAGTGAGAGACAAACAAACACACACACACACTCTCCAAAAAAACCACCCCCCTCCAAAGTGGACCATGCAAATATGACATGGGTGCCAAAATTGGGACAGAAACCTTTCCTGGGGGGGGAAACGAGGCCCAATTGGTTCTTTAAAGGAGAGAAATCCTGCTGGCCTTTGCCAACAATTACGGGTGCAAAGTAGAAAAGAAACGACAGGTTTGGGTCCAACATTTGCAGAGGTTTTGAGATCACTGACAAAGGCCCCAAATGTGGTTTTTGGTGTTTGTCAAAAGAGAGGGGTGAGAGGGAGAGAAAGAGTCACTTTGGGCAGCCTCTCCATGTCATCCCAAGCTTTGCAACCTCAAGGCCCGCAAGCAAACCCGTCCCATAAATAACCCCACCGCCCCTTTACAATTTTGCAACAGCGACTCTTGCAGCAAATCCGTTCCCCGGGATCAGCCCCGGCCCCAAACTCCGCAACGCCGAGGCTTTGCCTAGAGGCAGCAGGCACACCCAGAAGCGGCGGCTGCTTTCTCAACGCTAAAAAAGGTCCAAATCGCGGGCCGTTTCTCCGCCAGGGCAACCAAATCCCACCCACCCCCAACCCTCTCCAGTTATATAGCCCGCCCGCGACCCAACACAACCAGAGAGGGTTCCAGAGCCCATCTTCCACCGCTGGACGGAGCCGACCCCTCAAGACACGAGCGGCTCAAGCTTTGGGGGAATAGAATGACACCGACACCACCCACATCCTCATCCCCGCCTCCGGGGCAAAGCGTTTTGGATGCCCCACCCTCGCCTTCCTCCCCACCCCGGGGTGGGTTTCTTGTATTTGTCCCATCCCCGCCGGCCCCAACGCGGAGCCGGCTTCGTCCTTCGGGGCGAGGGAATCCAAGGAAGAGCGCTCTGCCCGTTCGCCCAGGAGGGAAAAGCGAAGGGAAGAAGCGCTCGAAGGCGAGGTGCGGACGTCGCTGGCGCAGTCTTCCCTCTGGTCCGCCAATTTTTTTTTTTTCTTTCCTTCTTCCCTCGCATTCCTCCCCTGGCCTCGTCGCGCAGACGGGAGACGGTTAAGAGGGAGGGAAAGGAGGGGAACTTTTAAGTCTGCTTCCACCGTCACGCTTCTGAGTAAACGATTCGTAAACCCGCTTCGATTACAAAATAAAGGGTTGAGTTCAGTCCGGGAATCCCTCTGGCGGCGCTGCTTCCTCGGAACACGAATTTCCCTCTTTCTTCCCTCTTCCCCCCCACCCCCCCCGCTCCTTCCTGGGAAAAAAAAAATCTACTCGCGATTTCGACACTCGGGTCCGGTTCCAACTTGAGCCTCGCACCGCCAGGCTCCTTAAAAATGAGCGCCCGATCCGAAGAACCTCCAGCCGCAAGGGCAATTTTTACCTTACCGCGTCTTTAAAAGGCGCCTCGAGGGAATAGAGCCGTGCCCCAGTCCCATCAATGAAAATGAATTGCGGGATCGTCCCGAGCGAGCGACGGAGCTCCGCGGACCTCCCTCGCAGGGCTGTTGGTACAACCTTAGAAACAAAATCTCCCCCGCGACACAATCTGAACCCGCAACTAACCGACTATGCAGGATTATACGGGGCAATATTGATAATACAGGTGGGAGAAAAGGCTTCTTACCGGGGCGGCCGCACCATTGGAGGGGCAAAGGCGTCCAACTGGCGGCTTCTCCGACGGAGCCTCTCGCACAAAAACTTCTGGGGTTCTTAGAAATCTGCCCCGCCCGTTTTTTTTTTTTCTTCTAACCCCACCAAACGCTTCCGGATTTCGTCCCGTGTTGGAAGGCGGGGCTCCCAGGCTACCTCCCCTTCGGCAACCTTTCCTAAACTTCCGGTAGTGCCACTCTAGCCTTGGGACTCGCTCTCCCCGTGTCAGGACCCACCCATTTCCACAGGGCTGTTTATAGGGAGGGATAGAAGGAACACTAACGCGGGAAGAGGGTTAATAAAACACTACACAATTTCGGTATTAAAAATATTCGTCGTAGTCTTCACATCGGTCCTCAGGGACGCAGAAGTCCCCTCAGAAATGACTTCGCCGTTTCTTTGTTTCCTAGCTCGCCGCTTTGGCTTCATCTTCGTTCTAGCCTTCCAATACTCCAGTTTCTTCCGACTTCAAACTCTCCTTTACTTCCCCGTTTGTCGCCTTCTTTCTTCAATCTCTTTGACGGGCTGACTGAAAGCGTCAGTCCCGCTGTCTCTTTTTATACTTTCCCTCCAAAACAGCTCTGAACCCGATTGGTTAACGCAACCAACAACCTGAACTTTTCATTGGCTGCTAGCACGGCTGTTTTATAGGTCCCCGGGGGGAGACTCAGAGACCAATCAGCATGCAGACACACCTGAGGGAAGCTCCTCATTGGTTGAAATCGAAGCGGCTCTACTCCTTTACCTGAGACCCCCGAACCCCTTTTTCAATTTGATTTGACACACGGTCCTTAATTAAACGAATGGTTAATTTTAGACGGGGGGGGGAATAAAATTGGGTATCCTGTTTCTCACCTCATTTATAACCAAAATGCATTGTTGGTTCCTGCCCAGCTCTGGCTTGACAGGATGATGGAATATGCGGCTTAAACTGGAAGAATGGGACTTGTAGTCCCCTCTGACAAGGTTGTGAGAATGGGGCTGATGGGAGTTGTAGTTTGAGAGGGCTGAGGTCATTCCAAGCGCAGCCAATCAGGTTCCGCTACGTCTACCCAAGCATCCTCCCCCTCAGACTCTCCCGCCCAATCAGCGTCGAAGGCGGAGACTTTTGAAAAGCGGCGGTTCGGGAGAAACTAAGCGAGGGGAAAACCCGCGCAAGGGCGAGAGGTGCGCATGCGCAAAAAAGGCCGGCGCCTCCCCTTTCCAGTCTTCCTCTAACTGGCGCCGGCGAGCGCGGGGCTTCGGACGCCGCCGGGAAACGCCAAGCAGCGGCCGGACAGAGCGAGCCAGACGCCGCCGGCCGCCCCACCACCTCCGCCGCCTTCCCGATCATGACGCACAAGCAGATCTACTACTCGGATAAATACGACGACGAGGAATTCGAATACCGGTGAGAGGGGGCGGAGCCTAGCGCGATGGGCAGGCGCGGGGAGGCGGGGCTGGGGGGGTTTCCGCGGCGACGACACGTGAGGGGGCGGGGCTTGGGGAAGGGGGCGGGGCCTGGAGCCTCTGGCTTCTAATTGTTCTGTATTTGTTCACATTTTTGCCTTTTTTTTTGTTCAAACTTGTGTTATTCAAGAAATTAAAATGCAGGCTCCCAAAAGAAGCCAAGAAAAACTTTTTTTGCAATAGAAAACAAGGAAAAAAGAGGAATAAACTGCATTAAAAGAATTGTGCATTGTATTTTTAGCCTTTTATTTTAAGAAAAAAAAGGGAGAAATTTATACATTTAAACGAATTAACAGAATTAGGTATTTTATCGCATTTTAATCCTTTTTCTTTTTAATCTCGGCTTCTTATTGGCTTATCGATGGGTCATCCACCCTCCTTGAAAAAAAGTCTTTTCAACCTTTTGAAAAGTCTTCTAGGAGACTGTAAAATCCTTTTCTCCCTCCTCCCCCGCCACCAAAAAACCCCCCAGCTATCATCCATCCGTTTGGCAATGATTTGGACTCCACTTCCCATGGTTCCTAGCCTTTGGCTGGGGCTGATGGGTGTGGAAGCGCGACAGCACTGACAGCAGGTCAGGCTGAGGTTGGACGGGATTGGGAAAGGGCATCGAGACTCCAAAGAGGCTTCCCACCAAGTTAAGAGGTGGTGCATAAATATGGTGAGACTACAAGTCCCATCACTCTATAGGCGGGCTTTGCTTCGCTTCCTCTTTGACTGTCCGGCGGGGAGGGGGATTTGGTAGGTTGGTCCGATGTTTATTGACCTCTTGTTCCTTCTCTTCCCCCTCCTTTCTTGCAGGCATGTCATGCTGCCCAAAGACATCGCCAAGCTGGTCCCCAAGACCCACCTCATGTCCGAATCGGAGTGGCGGAACCTGGGGGTCCAGCAGAGCCAAGGCTGGGTCCATTACATGATCCACGAACCAGGTAGGGTGAAACCTGTCCGTAGCTTGGACCTGAAGCTCTAGAGGCAAAATGTCAACTTCGAGCATCAATTTAAGTTATGCTCCAGATGGCCACTGAGTGACTTGAATATGGTTAAAGGCTAAAAACCAGGAGAAAATGAGTTCTAGTTTCACCTTAGATGTGAAAGCCAATTGGGTGACTTTGGGCCAGTCACCAGGAGACGTGAGTTCTAGTCCTGCCTTAAGCACAAAAATTGGATGGCTTTGGAGCGGTCACTCTCAGCTCATTCCACTTCACAGGATGGTTGTTATGGGGAAAACAGGAAGAGATAGATGGGTATGTTTGCCATCTTGATTTATTTGTAAAAAATAAAACCGGCGGGATATAAATAAAAATAAAAATACATTGGCTTTGCCCAGTGACGACATGATCTTAGATCACTCCGCCATTCAGGATCTGGTTATTTTCTGAATCTTCCCCCACGTTAAAAAAAAAACCGATCTGAGGGATTTGATTACAACTTTCCTGCTAGAGAAAAAAAAAAATCCGAGTTCTCGTGATCTTTTTCACGTGCCGTTTTTTTTTTTCCCCCTTTCCAGAGCCACACATCCTGCTTTTCCGAAGACCACTGCCGAAGAAAGTTGAAAAATGACCCACACCTCCACCTTCTTCTGTGTTTCGATCGAAGCACCTTTTTTGGGAGAACAATTGATTCTTTTAATCTAAATCGTAAAATTCCAAGAAATGCCTGTTCCAGAAAATACTGCTTGACGTAAACAAGCCGCCAAGAAAAACTGGTTTTGCCTCCGATATTTTATCTGGCCAAAGCAATCTTCAAAAACTCCGACAACTTGACTTTTTTAAAAAAAATATTTTTTGAAATACTGGCTAAAAGCTTGGCCTGCCCAAGCGGCCTAACTCACTTAAAAAAAAAAAAAATCTGGTCTTGCAAAACTTTGTTCTTAAAACGTGCCTTTCCTTTTTAATCTTATATTTCAACTTCTGCTTTAGAGCTTTTAAGATATTTTTGATATGATTGTTCCTTGGGCTGGATTAAAGGGTCACCACGTTAAAGGATCACTTCTAACTCCTTGTTCCTCAATTTGGTTAATCTAATGTAACTTGGACATTGGAATGCATTGGTGAAAGGAGGAATCATGTCACAGATTAACTGAAAATTATGAGAAAAATAAAACCGTCGGTGCAACTACACTGGGTTCAAACAACCATTTGAGGGGCACTGGTATAAAGGATTAAAATTCATCCATGTTGTCTTCCAAAGAAAGCCATTCAAGACTTTAAATGTTGATCAAGGTGATCTCTTTTTTAAAAAAAAAATCAATAAAAATAGGCAATATTTAAGTTTTGGGTTCAATGTACAAATGCAGCAACTTTGTGTAGTTTCATCCATGTTGTAACCTCTGTTTGTAAGTATGTATGTAACCTATTGTACCAAGAAATATTCTATAAACTTGTTTTCCTTGTGCTTCTGTTTTTAAGTTTTCTTTCAGGGCCTTTTATTTTATTTTTTAAAAAAACTTTATTAATGGAAGTGCTTTCTGTTACTTGTTTTTCTGCTGCAAGGCATTTTCCTAAAATATTGTTTTAACTGCAGTTAAATTGTGTATTACTTTACCTGGGGATAGGGGTGGTTTTAAAAGCAGGCTGTAAAGAGCTGAACTCACACAAGTAACCTAAGCGTAATTGTTTAATTTTCCTTGATTGACTGATCCGGATGAGCTTTCCTGACCTGATCCAAATAAAGATTGTTTATGCGGGATTTGGGTTTGTTTGTTTTTGCTGATAGACCGGGTGCTTTCGAAAGCGATCTGTAGGGGGAATGTAGCCTCCATTTCCAATCCTTAGACTATGTAGTTTCAATAATGTAGTGTTGTGTGTAATAATGCTGTGTAAAACAGCCTTCTTAGTAGATTTGGAATTTTTAAAAATAGTGGAGCATAAAAGGGAAGATGAGCTTTTTCCTTCCCTTCCTTTCCTTTCCCTTCTTCATCCATTTACTTTCATCTTTCCCTTCTTTATCCATTTACTTTCTTCCCACCTTCTCTTCCTTTTCTTCCTTCCTTTACTTCCCTTCTTCACTTCCTTCCATCTTTTCTTTTTCTTCCCTTCATTTACTTCCCTTCCATCCATCTTTCCCTTCCTTTTCTTCCTTTCCCTTCCCTTTATTTATTTCCTTCCCGCCATCTTTCCTTCCTTTCCTTTCTCTTCATTTACTTCCCTTTCTTTTGTTCCCTTCCCTTCTTCATTTTCTTCCTTCCATCAATCTTTTCCTTCCCTTCATCCATTTACTTCCTTTCCTTCCATCTTTCCCTCCCTTTCCTTCCCTTCTTCATCCATTTACTTCTTTTCCTTCCCTTTCTTACTAGCCGAGTGTGATTGGATGCACAAGGGATTTCTCTCTGCAAAATTAAGCGGTGTGCATAAGCGCACAATCGTGCCTACTGTCCCTGTCCTATTGTCCCCAGTTACTATTTCATGTATTTAAACTTATGGTTATTCTTATTTCTATTATATTGTAAGCATTTGACTAAATAAATAAAAATAAATAAAATCAGCTTTAAGCAGAAATGACATTTTACAACATTGCACATCATCCAGAAAATTGGGTGGCTTGGGTCACTCAGCCAAATGTCACGAGGAGGTAAACAAAAAAGTAAAAAAATTAATTACACAATCCAAAAGGCAACAACTGTTCGCAAACAACTCGCCTGTACACAATGAAGCGCCGGGAGGCATGATGGGAAATGTAGTTTTCCCGGAGGCCTAGAGCGTCGCTCTCTTGCAACACCGCCCGCTCCTGTTGGCCAATCCGCGCTTCTTCCGCTCCCTGCCCCTTTCCCGCTAGGCCAATAGTAAACCAGAAGGGGCGAGGCCGGCAGGAAGAAGCAAGCCAATGGGCGAGCGGGAGGCGTGGCTCCCTGGCAGTTTTTTTTAAACAAGGCTTGGGTAAGTCGGGGGGGTGCGTGGGAATTTCCCGGGTCTTGCTTGAAATGGTATCTCCCACCCTGCAGGTTTTGCCAAGTGGGCTCCTGAGCATGGGCAGAGTGTCAGAGACCCGCGGGAATGAAGGCTTCTTTCTTTGGGGATTGCTTAAAGCACTATTATGGGATGGAATCCTGGTCTTGGGAAATAGATCAATCCTAGTTTGACGTCTCAGTGCAGCTGGAGTAAATAAATGCAGGTTTATTCTGGGAAGGGTGCGATCCACAGTGTAAGGGTCTGATTTGATTTATTAATGTAATCAATTAAAGTGATCGAAGCCAGTCAATTTAATTCCATTTTAATTTTACAGGTCAGAGAGTGCTCTGTTAGATACCTTAGTACTTCCAAAGCGAGGAAAATAATCATAAATAAAGTAGAAATGACCAGCCAGAACAAAACAATCTTCCAAAGTTACTTTGTTTTATGATGATGATAATGATGTCCTTGTTGCTCTTTGGGCTGGGTTGTTTTCTTGCAGACGTTTCGTGACCAAACTAGGTAACAACATCCGTGCTAGACTACAGGTAGGGTTTGCAGAGAGGAGAAGGGAGAAGGAGAAAGAAAAGGAGGAGGAGGAGAAGATGACGGAGGAGGAAGACTGTGGATCCTTGGTGCTCTCTGAACTGGGTTGTTTTCTTACAGACGTTTCATTACCAAACTAGGTAACAACCACAGCGCTAGACTAGAGATGGAGTTTATGAAAAGAGGTGGAGGAGGAAGACACATGAGGTCCGTGGTACTCTCTGAGCTTGTTTTCTTGCAGATGTTTCATGACCCAACTAGGTAATATCATCAGTCTCATGCAGAGTAAACTCCACGCCTTTGTAGCCCTGATGATGTTACTTAGTTGGATCATGAAACGTCCACAAGGAAACCGCCACGCTCAGACCCCAAATTTCAAGCTACAAATACTCTCCTTTATTTAAAATAATAATAATAATCCTGCAAGAATTTTTTGGGAAAAAATACCTGCAATCAAAGGGCTTGTGTAACAGACATATTAATTTCAGGTAACTGCAGGTAACGCAGCTTCCAAAACTCTGCCGAAGCGACATTTAGAACTGGCAGCTTCCAAGGGCCGCTCGCTCCTGCGCTGGGATCTTTGGCTCTGCAGGAACGTTGTGCACGCCAGACAGCCCAGACGGTGTCTTCAAACGATGGCGACCCAGGTGGATGGGGAAACTTCCCGAAACAAAGGGGGCACCCCTCAACCTGCAGCCGTGACCGCTGGCATCATCATCATAGGAGATGAGATCTTGAAGGTACGTGAGCCTTCGCACAACGGTGTACGCTTTGGGGAAATCGAGGCAGCTTTGATCAGTGCATTAATCTATTTTTTTCTCCAATAAAGTCAACTGGCGATGTGTATATATATATATATATATGAATATACCTGCTGATATATGAATAAGTTTAAATCTTGAAGAACTTCTCGTGGACTATGAATGCTAACATGCTTGTGAAGAAGGCACAGAAGAAGAGGCTGTACTTCCTGAAAAGGCTCAGGAAGATAAACCAATCTCAGTATAGACCACAGCACCACTGAGAGTGTCCTGACATGCAGCATTTGTCAGCTAAAAAGATGCTCCTTTGGTCTTTTTAGCTGCCAGAAAAAGGGAGTGGCATTCTTAAAATGCCTAGATATCAACTCAGCAGCCTAAAGTTGTTGTAGCATAAGAAGGTTATTGGAGAGCATGATGGATGACTCTTGGAGACTGATGTGTCCTATTGGAGAAGTCACATCTGGGGGGCAGGGTTAAGACCAGGGTCAAAGGGGAAATGTATGATGTGATTTAATACTGGCGGCACCCAGCTCTGTAGCGGACAAAAATGCTCTGCAGAGAATCATTAAAACTGCCCAGAATATCATGGGGCTCCACAACACCCAGCCCTGGATGACAACCTTCGCCTGTCACTGTTTGAGGAAGTCGCACAACATTCTCAGGGACTCTTCCCATCCTGCTCACAATCTTTGTGAAGTTGTTGCCTTCTGGCAGAAGAGACAGAACCATTCAAATTCGGACCACATGTTTTTTCTGAATAGTTTTTTTTTTTTATCCCAGAGCTATTAACCAGGAAATTAAGGACCACCATCAGCGAGCTGTTGGACAGGATTACTTGGTCTGTTGTGTGGGTGCTTGTGTGTTTTTTTTTGGGGGGGGGGAATTTTGGTGGGTGGAGGTGGGGTGTTTGGGGATTGTCATGTGTGTGTGCGTGTGCGTGTTGGGTCTGGTCTCTGGGTGTTACGTGAATTTTGTTGTATGTATACTGTGTATATACGTACAATGCCAATAAAAAATTCAATTCAATTTAATATATCTGCTGAACAAACTCCATACTGGTGATAGGAAGAGCATCTGGCCAGTAACCACTCTGCTAGCTCCATTCAGTTGCCTAGACTCCACCCTGCAAGGGATTATGGAATTGTTAACTGATGTTGATGCTCTAGTTCGACTACAGATTATCCTTCTAATATCTTCTTCTTTTGGGGGGGGGTGTCTTTTTTTCAGGGGTACACGCAAGACACCAATTCTGTTTTCATGTGCCGGAAACTCCGCTCGCTGGGGGTGAAGGTGGCCAAGATTTCCGTGCTGCCTGACGAGGTGGAGGCCATCGCCACTGAGGTCAAGTCTTTCGCCGACAGGTTCACTTACGTCTTGACGTCAGGCGGCATCGGCCCCACGCACGATGACGTCACCTTTGAAGCGGTCGCAAAAGCCTTCGGCGAGAAAATCCATCCCCATCCAGAGATGGTGAATCTCGTCCAGAAATTTTTCGGCCTGCAGTCCAAGCCCGAAAGCCCGAAGATGAAGCTGGCTTGCGTCCCCGAATCCTCTCTCCTCAATTACGGAGTGGACGAGAAGACAGGGCGTCGTTTCCCGTATCCGCTGATCAGCGTCCGGAACGTCTACATTTTCCCCGGGATCCCCTCGTTGATGAAACGAGCCCTGGACGGTCTCGGGCATCTCTTCCGAAACGAGAAGACCCAGTTTTACACCCGGGAGATCTACGTGAACGTTGAGGAAACTCAGATCGCCTCGGTGCTGAACGACGCCAACGCCAAATTCTGGCCACGCACCAACCTGGGCTCGTATCCGGATTGGGTCAGCAACTACCACCGAGTGAAGCTCATCCTGGACTCGGACTCCGAGGCTGACCTGGATGAGGCGCACGCTTTCCTGATGGAGCACTTGCCCCAAGGGGTCGTGGTGCCTTTGGTAGCCAATCCCATTTCCCGGGCCGCTACGGATGTCTACGGGTTGGCTGAGTCCGGTAGGTAGCCTTGTCTGCTGTACGGATTATCTCGAGTTGTTGTGGCCTGTCAGCTGCCAGTCCCTCCAGCAGCCGAATTGGAAGAGGAGGAGGAGGAGGAGGAGGTCTGGGAGTCAGGATCAGCATCAGGGCAACTTGATAACTCCAAGGGGGAAGAGGGAATGGAGTTGGTAGACAGAGATGAAGCCTGAGCCGTCCGCCAACCCCCAGATAGAGAGTCAACAGCCCCCGGGTCTGGAGGTGGCTGATGAAGAAGAGGAGGAACAGCTGGCTCCACTTCCTGACGTCAGGATCCCAGTAGTTACTCCCATTTAAATCAGGAGTCTCCCGCCAGGTTTTCAAAACGTAAAGATTTATTAGGAGTAAACATGCTGGCATTGCCTGGGTATAGCTGACTCTGAGGCACATCATTCACTGTCACCCTTGACCCTGGTTTCCCCACCTCACCCCCAAACCCCTGGGCGTATCATCATTCATATTCTCCAATGGGACACTTCCATAGCCCAAAGTCATCAATCCGGCTCTCCTGTTTGAATTTTGCGCGGCCGAAACCTCACTCGCCGAGTTACTATCTTTGAAAACATCGATGGGGCGCAAGCTGCCCACTGCTTCCCCCTCCCTTTCTGTTGGCGACTCTAAAAAGACCCCAGAAATATTTTATGTGTTGACATAATGCGCAGAAGGCAGAGAGAGAGAGAGGAGAGCAGTGGAAATCTATGGGCCGGCCCTTGGGAACGGAAGAGCCACCGCTGCTAGCGAGGCCCCGCCTGAGCTCTGGGGATAAAAGGCAGGGGGCGGAGATGAATAGATGTGGCAAACAACTCTTCACTTCCCTGGCGGACAGATTTGTTAGCCTGCGGTGAGATAGGAAAATTTTGCCGGGGTTGCCGGCGCCCCGAATAAAGGAACTTTTTGAATTCAGAGGGTTTGTCGTGTTTACAGATGTATCTCGAGTCCGGGAGGTAGCCCTATCGGCCGTACCAGTGTATTTTTTTAAAAAAACAAATCATTTAACCACCGCCCTGCTTAAAGACAGATTTTTTTTCCAGCCTCTATTGCGGTCATAAGTCAAGGACCGTTCGTATAGATCCACTACCCAGGATTTCCGGCCTTGTCGGTCGAGATTTTTTTAACCTCACCGATTAACCTCCTTCCTCCCAACCTGCAGGTTCTCCTCTTGGCCAGAAGGTGGCGGCATCGCTCAGGACCGTGGAGGAAGGCTTGGAGAACTACAGCCTGTCCAAAATCTGCGTGGGGTTTAACGGCGGGAAGGACTGCACCGCGTTGCTACACCTTTCTTACGCCGCCGTGCAGAGGTGCCTTGCTTCCGGCAAGCTCGCACAACGATAACCAAGCCAGGCCTCCCCTATCGTCACGCTTGAAACCAAAAGAAAAAAAATATTAAAATTTCGGCGTGCTTTAAAAAGGAGGCGCATGCTTCTAGTCCTCATTGTGGACTTCCAAGGCCCATCATGGCCTGCAAAACTCAGTCCCAAATCCAGTCTTTTGCTGGAGGGGTTAATCCAGGTAGTTTTTTAAGTGCCTGCACACTTGAACGACACTTCGTTCAATGGCTGGAGTTACAAAGGCACGGAAAAATGAGACGTACAACGGGGGTTTTTTTCGCACTTACAACCACTGCAGCATCCCCCCCCACCTCCCTCGTGAACAAAATTTAGATGCTCGGCAGCTGGTTCATATTTACGACGGTCACAGTGCCCCTTCGACAATCTCTCACTCAACAGCAGAAAAATTTGGGGCGCTCAATTTGCCGGTCGTAAGTCCAGGATGGTCCCCCCCCCAAACCCCCGGGGATGATGGGTGTCGTTATCAGGCCCAATCTTTCCACGTTTAGAGATAGGAGAACCGTCCACTGGGCAACTCTCATCCCGATGCTCGAAGCTGCAGTTCTCAACTTACGGGGTAACTCGTTTAGCGACCGTCCAAATGGAATTGTCTGGGATTTAGAGACACCTTGAAAAGCCAAGCTACCCCAAGAGAGAGAGAGAGAGAGAGAGAGAGAGAGAGAGAATTGCTCGTTATTCCTTTTTTAAACAAAAAAACATTTTTTATCACTTCTCCGTAGGCGATATCCAGAAAAGTTGGACCAGCTCCAGGCTCTCTACATCCGTACGGTCCTTCCCTTCCCGGAAATGGAAGAATTTATTCAAGATACGGCTCGGAGGTTAGGTATCCCTTCTTCCTTCGGTGAGGCCACGTCAAGGCTGCCTTTATTTTTTATTTTGCATCCCAAAACCAGCTGGGTTGAAGAAAAATTAAAATCAATGCGACATCGATTTGTGCCAGCCACTTTCTCTCAGCCCTCAGAAAAGAAGGAATGGCAAAAAAAATAAAATAAATAGAATGCCCTTCTGGGAAAAAAAAAAACCACACACAACAGTTGGGACTCATCCACGCTGTGTCTAAGAATCAGACGCCATTTTTTAAAAAATAAAAATAAAATGGCCCATTTATCCATCGGCAAGCCCTAGTGCAGGGAGCGGATTCGAAAGACGCCTTCGCGCGGAAATTTGAGGGTTTCTCCTTTGAATCTTCCGGCAGGTACAACCTTCGCATTCGGTTGGTCCACGGGAACATTAAGGAAGCTTTGGGGATCCTGAAAAGTCAGCAGCCCGATCTGGAGGCCGTGTTGATGGGCACTCGACGGACAGATCCATATTCCTGCGCCCTGAAGCCCTTCTCTATGACGGACCCCGAATGGCCACAGTACATGCGAGTCAGCCCCCTGCTGGTGGGTCCTTGGCGTTGGCGGCTCTTTTAATCGGCCTTTTTAAACGGTTTAATTAAAACTAGCTGGATTACCGGTGCTTCGCTACGAAACTACGTTGGTGGGGGTTAGTTTTTGGGGGAGGGAAAATAAGGGGGGAAAAAATTCTGCCTCTGGCTCCCAATTCATCTGGCTAGCGTCCTGTCAGTGTGTGAGAGAATGGAGGGCTGTTTGGAAACTCAAAAGAGTATTCACTGCGTGAGCAAGGAGACAGCGAGGAGCCTGGGCGTGGCTTAGCTCAACTGTTCTGGACTAAAGCTGCTTGGGGCTCTGAAACTAAAACTCCTCTGCTTGTGTTTTGCGTTTGGAAGAGATTTCTTTCCAGGTGGGGAGGGGGAGTAGAACTCCTTAGCATCAGAGCCTGTTAATAATAATAATATACGAAATACGAATGCTCTGATGGTCATTTTGAAAAATCCTTTCTTAATGAGCCCCTAGAAGCCAAGAGGAATGAATTGAATGAATCCAATTCTCCCACTGTAGACTTCATTAGAAGCCAGCTGGCAAGGTTGCAAAATGTTGAATCTCACACACACACACACACACACACACACACACACACACTCACACTGAGAGGCTGTGACCGTCATAACCACAAGCCAGTGGCCCAGTGATTGAATTTGGATGCGGACGATGCTGCGAAGGCGGTAAGAGCGAGATGTGTCAAATATCTCTTAATTCTCTCTCTCTTTTTTTTTCCCCTCCTACTTTCTTCTTTGATTCTTAGGACTGGACGTACCACGATATATGGAGTTTCCTTCGCAGCCTTTATATCCCTTACTGCATTCTGTACGACAAGGGGTAAGCGCGACCGTGTCTTGAATTTTTACCTGATTTAGGGGAGGAAGAAAAAAAAAACGTGTTTACAGGTGTATTTGCACAAGGAAATATTCCAGGAAGCTTTTAAAAGGCCGGGCAGGTTTAAAATTGGAGGGTAGGGGGAAATTCTGAGAGAGAAAGGTGACTTAAGATCCCGTAATCCCTTGCGGGGTAGAGTTATGGTCAACGGAATGGGGTTTTTACTGGCCAGATGCCCTTCCCATTGCCGATACACGGTTTTGTTTAGCAGATAATATTCTCGTTGTGCCCAGAGAAAGAAATATCTGCCTCTACCGAGGATTGAACTCTTTGATTGTGAGGCGAGCGCTCCACCTCTAGGACCGCTGCACCCCTCTCAGCATTTCCATAATGACAGGTTTAAAATTCACGCGCCTGGCAACCGGCTCATATTTATGACGGTTGCAGCCTCCAGGGCTTGCACGATCCCCTTTTGCGACCTTCAAATCCCCGGGGAAGCCTTGATTCGCTCAACAACCGTATTCCTTCCTCAACCCCTGCAGCAACTCCCTTAACGGTGGCCAGGAAAGTCGTAAAACAAGGAAAAACTCAACTTAGTGGCTTGTCTCGCTTAGCGACGGAAATGTTGGGGGCTCAGTGTTGGCCGTAAATCGAAGGACGGCTTGTGCGTCACGAGGTTGATTTCGCTCTGGATTGAAAACATGGGTGTTGTTCGGTTTCGTTTGGTTTGTTTTCATGCTGGCTTCCTGTTTTTGTTTGTTTTCATGCCGGTTTCCCGTTTTGTGTGTGTTTGTTTTCTGGCTTTCATGCTGGCTTCCCGTTTCGGCAGTTACACCTCGCTGGGAAGCATGACCGACACGCAAAAAAACCAAGCGTTGCGTTACACAAACGCACAAGGCCAGGAGTCCTACCGGCCGGCTTATGAGTTGGAAGACGAAAAAGAAGAACGCATCTGGCGCTGTTGAACCACGCACACCGCGCCTGTAGCCAGCAATGTTGGTTTAAGCAACACACACACACACACACACACACACACATATACCCGGGAGGGGAAGCGGGGGTTGCGGAGGAAGTAACTTTCCAAAGTAGGTTTATCAACATCGTAAAACGGAACACATGAGTTGAGATTGGATTGGTCTGGCCCTGTGGGCATCTTTCGAACTGATCTTACGCCACAAATAGACCGTTTTCTGTGTTGGAATAAAAAATAGGGGAGTTTTTTTTTCTCCCACCCAATTCTCACCGGCGTTCCTTGTCCTCATTCTGAAGCAAGTCCAAAGGATTATTATTATTATTATTCTCTTTTATTCATTAAAACCTGAAACTCAAGTCAACTGAACATTTAAAGAGGTATCACAAATATCATTGACTGGCGCTGATGGTTGATAAAGGTTGCTGCCAGCATCCTAGGTATTTATAATAATAAGTGTGTGTGTACACACACACACACACATATATATGAAACTTTTAAAAATACGAGATCCTGGTAAAACTGTAAACATTTATTTATTATTTAATCTTCCATTTGATTCACAGTTGGGGACTGGTAAAAACTGAACAATTCAAGTCCTAACCAGGACCTAAGAACTGTAAAAGGTGTAATGTCTGAGTATATACGCAATTCCAAATAAGGTGTTCTTTTACAAAGTCAGGATATTTAAGTGTTCATGTTAGAAAATTTCCATGTATCTAGGCATCCCATTTGGGTATTGCTCCAAGACTACTCCTATTTTTATTTTTATTATTATTATTATTATTATTATTACTACTACTACTACTATTACTATTATTACTATTATTACTATTACTATTAATATATTTATTTTTACTATTATCAGATAAAATGTATATCAAAATACAAAACAGCAGAGCAGGGAATTATGTTCAAAACGCACGAGTGGTAAATAAACTTAGGTAGGAAAAATAAAATTATATACCTGTGGTTACTAAACCGACAGCTTGATATATGGACCAAAATGATCTGAAAATTCTTAGCCGGGGTTTTGGGGAGCTGGTTTGCTCATCAACCTTGGCAATTTTTTTTTTAGATGACTGGACTTCGACTCCCAGAATTCCCCAATTTGGAGTTTCTCCCCCCCCCCCCCTCCACCCCAGCCGAGGGAGATAACGAGAGCGGAGCCTTCCTGCCCAAGAACAGTCTACCTGGGTCAGGAAGCGCAGGCAAGCTTAGGCGCCCCAGGGAGGCCGGCTCGCGGCTGTTGGGAAACCAGGATGCTGGGCTTCCTTTGAGCTTCACCGCGGGGCTGTTCGCTCTCCTTCCCAAGCCCCATCCCGGCCCCATTGCAAAACCGCTTCCCCATTCCTGACTCCTCTTGTCTCCGTTTTTTTGTTTCTTTTTCTTTTTGCAAGCAGTTTCCTGCCTCTTGATAAGATCCTGTCCGCCGCCACCAAGCGCAGCCCGACTGGGGCCGGCGCCAGAGGTCACCCCGTGGCCAGCACTCCCCCCCGCACTCCTCCTCCCACCCCCGGCTGCTAAAAGACCGAGCCAGGCTGGCGAGTCCCTCCCCACTTCCCTTCCCCTCCTGTCCAGTTTTTCGTGCGTTTTGGAGAGCTAGGGCGCACGTAGGGGAAGGGCAATTCCCTTTGAAATAAATGCTAGTTTTGGCTTGGAGGGGGGGGGGGAGGCCTTCCACTCCCCCCCCCCCCCCGGCCCCCAGGGGCCGCGTTCGCGGGGGGGGGGGGGGTGTTCAGATCACATCTGGGTGGGGTGGCACTCCTTGGGATGCTCCGGGGCGCGCCGTGCGTTTTGGAGAGCTGGGGCGCAGAGCGCACGAGCAATTCCCTTTGAGATGCCGTCTTTGGCAATGGGGGGGTGGGGTGGAGGGACTCCCACTTCCCTTCCCCTCCTGCCCCCCCCCCAAGGGCCAGCTTTCTCCGATGGGGCGGGAGTGGGGGGGTGGATTTCAGATCAGCTCTGGGTAGGTTGGATCTGCTTGGGATGCCCCGGGCGCGCGCAGAGGAAGGGCAATTCTCTTTTTCAGATGCTGGCTTTGGCAATGGGAAGGAGAGGGAGCGCTGCTTTTGCTAGCAGGACGTGGAGGAGGGCGGATGGTGGGGGCGGGGGGGCGGGAAGCGACTTCCCAGCCTTGCCTTGCTGGCGCCAAGCGCCTCTGGCTCGGTCCTGGGACCCAGAGCCGCGCGGCGCCAGCGCAATCTCTCGTATCTCTTGGGGAAGTTGGAAGAGGAGCCGCGGAGCGAACGCCCTGGCTTCTTAAAGGGACAGCCTTGCTGATCTTTGGAAAGACCCCCCGCCCTCCTTTCCCTTCCTCTTTGGCAGGAGAGATAACCCCCCCTCCCCAGAAGTCCCCACGTTTAGGGTGGAAGGGGGCGTGTGAAACCCCCTTGCGAACTCGGTTGGCTTCCTGTCTCCCTTGCGGAAGAGGAGAAACCGTGGCAGGTGCTGTCCCCCCCTCCCCCGCCCCCAAAAGGGGACTCCTTGGTTCTAAACTCGGGTCAAAGCAGAAAACGGGGGGCCTTGAGGACTAGAAACCTATGGTTGCGGGGGATCAAAGAGAGTTTGGAAAGGGAATGCTCCATTTCTGTAATCCGAGGAGACGGGGTGCGTCTCTAAGGGCTGCTTAATAGGGTGCGGGCTTTGATTCCTGGGGTGGTCAGAGAGTCAAAATGAGACCAAACCAGGATAAAGGGAGGGCTGAGGAATTGGCTTGCTATCAGCACGGAAAACATAGCTTGCTTGCTTGTCCCTTTTGAGGAACAAGATTGCGGAACACGGGATGACTTGCTGCAGTAGTAACTTCACTCCTGTGCCCCAGAATTAAGACATTGGGGGGGGTCACGAGGGGGGAAGGGAAGGGGGGGAGACTTAAGTGGAGCCAACCCAGCTTCTTTGTTGGTGCAAATCCACAACGGGGGGGGGGGGGGGGGGGGGGTGTCCTTCCATTCCAGCTTATTCAACCCTGACCTCAGCTCAGCCAACAAGGCTGGACTTGAACTCGAAGTTTGCAAGGAGATTGCAACTTCAAAGCTGGCGTGCAATAAGAAGAGGGGGCCCAGCCTTGCCCCTTGGCAGACAACCCCCCCCCAAACCCCCCCACTAACTGTTCCACCCCTTCAAAGCAAGGAATTGGGGTCCGGTTCGAAAAAAACACCACCCTTTGTTTTGGGGTGGGCGCTGAGCCCTGAATCAACCTCATTGCTGGTCTCCAACAAGTCGCACCCCCCCCCCCACAACCCACTCGGGCAAACTGAGGTTACTCCAGCAGCCCACCCCCCCTCCCTGTTTCCTCTCCCTGCCCCAGAGGCCGGGTTAGGGAAGGAGGAGGAGGGATCAGCCGGCAACAGAAAAGATCGGAGCAGGAAATCTGTGGGTCTTTTCATCTGTGGGCAGCATCCAGGCAGAGACCTGACCCTCTTACGCACAGTGAGTGATTTCTTGGGGTGGTGCGGGGACTCGAACACCGGGTAGTCCTTTCCTTCTGGGGGGGAGGGTGTGTGTGTGGGGGGGGAGAATTGGGGCATCCTTTCCAAAGATGGTGGGGTGTTTTTTGTGGGGTTTTTTGGCCTGGGCTGCACCTGGGTGTTTCTGCGTTGCCCCATAACTGGGGTGGATAGGTGATGCATTTGGGGAGGGTCGTGTTCTCTCCAGATTGTGGGGAGGGGGATGAGGTCAGCTCCTGAATTAAGGGGTGCCTATTTCAGCAAGTGTGAGAGGGCCTGGGGGGGGGTGTCCGCCTCCCTGTTTTTTTTACACTTTTTGCACAGATTTGTGGCCAAAGGTGAGCAGAATCTCGCCCTGAGTGGATCGTGTGGCTTATGAAATCCCACAATTGTGTTTTATTTTTGGACTTATTGATAAGTTGCCTTCCCCCCCCTGGAACAAAAGGCAGCCGACTTTATGTTTCCTCTTCTGTTTCCCCACCACCCTGCTTGTAACAACAACAACAACCCTGTGAGTTAGGCCGGGCAGAGAAAGGGGAGGGAACTTAAGGGGACATCTAAACCAGCCCTCTGGCTGGGGATTCAGAAGGGGTTTGAGTCCAGCAGCCTATTTTCTGACAAGGGAGCTGTGGTGGGAGCTTCATCCCTGGAAGCTTTCAAGAAGAAACTGTGGACTTGCCGTCGGTCTGAAACGGTGTAGGGTCTCCTGCTTGGGTAGGGCACGGGGGGTTGGACTAGATGACCTCCAAGGTCCCTTTCCGACTCTTTTGTTATTATTCTGGGATTCAGAAATGGTGGGAGCTTTTCCAAGAAGAGCCACCTGGACTTGCCTTCGCTCCGAAACGGTGTGTGTGGGGGGGTGTCTCCATGCTTCCTTGGGGGAGCGGGGGGGGGGGTTGGACTAGATGACCTCCAAAGATCCCTTCCGACTCCCTTTTAATCTGCTTCTGTTCTTTCCCTCTCCGGTTTCCCACCCCCCACCCCCACCCACCCACCCCTGAGCCTCATGTTCCGGTCTCGGAGAGCCAGCTTGGTGCAACGGCTCTGGAGGCTGCGCTGCCTAACGCCCGGCCCGGACGACCCCCACGGCGGCTTGAAACCCGCGGCTCACGCGCTCTTCAAGAAGCTGAAAGACAAGGAGTTGGAGCTGCTTCTGCAGGCGGTGGAGAGCCAGGGAGAATCGGGCTGCTTTTGGGTCGAAGCCCGTGGCGGGAAAGCCGGCCCGTCGGCTTCGCTGCTCCTCTGCCGCCTCTACCGCTGGCCGGACCTCCGGCAACCCCATGAGGTCAAGAGGCTGTGCCTTTGCAAGAGCGCCGGGGGCGAGGCGAGGGGTCTCCATTGCTGCAACCCTCACCACCTTAGCCGCCTCGCTCTCCCCGGTGGGTATATGGGGGAGGAGGCGGGGTGGGGTAGTAGAGAGGTGCTGGACCTAAGGCAGGGATGCGCGCACACACACACACACACACACACACACACACACACAGTGCAAGGAACCGAGAAGGTCAGGCAGGCGTTGCTGATGGAGAAGGGTGCGCAGCTTCGCTCGGAATGAACCCCCAGATGTGGGAGGGTTGGGGTCCTAGGTTAGGGGATCCTCGGACCACCCTGAGAAATGGCCGTTTGGTTGTTAGGGTGGTTTGTTTGTTCGTTTGTTTTTAAAAATATATATATTTAATGTATGGCATCTACAGAGGTCATGAGATCACGGAGGTACGAATTCGGTTTAAATAAAGCATCCGCAAATCTCTATCGATCATCCATCCGTCTATCACAGAGGGTCTTCCAAACTTGGCAACTTTAAGAATTAGGGTCGTCAACTCCCAGAGGAGTTCTTGAAGTCTACAGGTCTTAAAGTTGCCAAGTTTGGGCACCCCTGATTGATCTGTCTGTCTGTCTGTCTGTCTGTCTGTCCATCTATCCATCCATCCATCTATCTACCCACCCATCCATCCATTATCTATCTATCTATCTATCCATCCATCCATCTATCTACCCACCCATCCATCCATTATCTATCTATCTATCTATCTATCTATCTATCTATCTATCTATCTAT